ACACTGATTAAATCATTTGAAATCATGTGAATCAAATTAAATTAACTTGTGATTGTGAAAAAGTTTTTCTTTCCAGTTAATCTTTTAAAATATCAAAATTAAACCAAATTGATTAACTAATATGATTATAAGATTAACTTAAAAGTAAATGATTTGATTGAATCTTTTGTTTCTCAATGATTGTTGAAACATGATTTACTTTTATTTAGTTAATTAACTATTATTATCCAGTAAATTATTGTCACAGTGTGATACCTGATGATGACAGGTATGTGAATATATGAGTAATGATTAGATTGAGGGTGGTAACAATTAAGGAATGAGGATAAGGATGATGATGATGATATTCAAGCACGACATCAAATCTAAGGATTAACAAACATCATCAAGATGATAATAATCAACATATAATAAGTAATTACAATGTTTAATAATGATAATGATTGTAATGATTAAGCTTAACAGGATACATGTAATAATAATGATAAAAATGACAATAAACAGCGACAACAATTAGTTTTATATTTGTCATCTCTCACTAACGATTAATTAACCAGCTAGTTAACTATTATGATGAGTTAATTGTTCAATTTTGTTGTAAATTGAAAAAAAAAGTTAAGTAAAGTTAATGAATGAAATGAAAGACTAATAATAATAATAATTGTAAACACACACAGAGGGAATTAAGTTAATTGTTATGATATTACATGATTGTAATGATGATGATGATGATGAGATGTTCATCCCAGGTTGATTTAATTCATTATCTTGAGGGATTCAGAGGGATAAGAGGAGGATGAGGGTGGGATGAAGGAGGTGAGTGTTTTGGATGAGAAATTTTTTCTCTTTTCTTGTTTATTGTTTAGTTTTACATCACAATTAAGATGATGAGGATGATGAGAACCTCCCTCCTTGTTATAATGAAAAAATCGACCTTGGTGGGGCTCACTTGGAGCCTCATCCTCATCATCTTTATCTTCATCATCTTGATGGAGGTGGAGGAGGAGGGAAAGATGAGAAGGAAGGAAATATTAGTCTTGTTTTTTTTTTTTTACGTTTTTTTTTACTAAACTTACCTTGATTTTTTCTCTCTCACTCTCTCATCATCATCATCTCTAACTGGTTAAGGTGAAACCCACAAAGTGGTTAACCAGAGGGAGAAAAGATTAAAGATGATGATGAGAGAGAGAGAGATGAAAATTGAAAGTTACAGTCTTTTATTTGAATGAACGTAATAGTAAAAGATTAGTTGTATTTAACTAACTACTACAATTACTAATGAATGATGATGATGAAACGGATGTTGATGAAGTAAACAAAAGGAGGAGTGATGATGATGAGTAAAAACAAACAATCATCATAAGTATATCAAGTTTCCTAGTAAAATGGTTAATTTGACAATAAGTCAAAAACTGTATCCTCAAACTCATCCGCTTACATCGTTCACTTTATCATCATCCTCATCATCTCATCTTCATTGTAGGTATTCATATCATCTTTCATCAGCTGACCACAGCACCTTCGTTGTGGTCAACATTTGATAGATAAAAAAGTTAACTGACGAAAACATAGATAAAAGTTGACCAATGTCCATCGTTGATCGGTTAATATTTTTCATGTGAATGAATTGAAATCGTGCAGAGGAAGAGGAAGAGGAGGATGAAGACAAATGAAGACTAATACATGATATTTATGTTTTCTCATCTTCTTACTAATATATTTTATCTTCCCTTGTGTGTTAACCATTGTTATTGAATTGATAAACAAGACTGTTAATCTACCTGGTGGTTGAAAGGTTGGTATAGATGAATAAGGGAGTGGGGTGGATCAGGAGGTGGGTGGTACATCATGGTGGGTGTTATTTTGCTCCTCGCAAATATCCAGGTAAAGATTCATGTTTGTTTAGTGTGTGTATGTTTTGTTGTTCATGCTCAACCAATCAAGCAATCACGATGATGATGATGATTATGATTAAGGTTGGGGACGATTAAAGGATGAGGTTGTTGTTGATTATGATGTTGATCAATGTTAAGAATAGGTTTTAAGATGATGATGATGATAATGATAAGGATCAAGATATGGTTGATAATGATGATGAAGGTTATAGGGAAAGGATGATGAAAATTACTCTGATGATGAGGATGAAAAACTTACCTGGTGGGATGATGATTACTATCCTTGTACCTTTATTATCATCTTGTTGGTAGTAAGGATGATTAGGATGATGAGGATGAGGATGATAATTTTATTATCTTTCTCATGGTAAAAATTGATTTTCTGCTTTTCTAATGATAACTTGTTATCATTTTAAATCATATGTTACAATGTTTACTTTTCAAAGTGATTGTTGATTGATTGATTATTATATATTGTGAATTAATAGTTGATCTGGTTGTCGCTTTTCAGTTTACTGACCTAGTTTACTAGTTGACCAAGGGTCAGTTGTAGGAGTATTGTATTAATATGTGATAATTGTTGTCATGATAAAGTGGATTGGACACAAGGAGGACACAGAAAAGCCGCCGGGGTAAAGTTTGTTGACTAAGCTGTTGAAAAATTTATGATTCCTTGTTATTGATAACTTTGTATACTTATAGTGTGTCCGATAACAGGTTAAGATAAGGTTTTCTTAGAGGTGGACAGTGGTCAGTGAAGATGAGAGAGAGAGAGAGTGAGAGAGATAATCTTTCTCTTTGAATGATAGCGGAAAGTTAGTGATACTATGAGGGTGGGGAATCTTAAAGGTGGAAATTGTTTTTCTCTGTCAATAAAATTTCAATGGTGGCTAATGAATAGGAATCAATCCTCTTGACCTCTGGTCAACTGATGATAAAAGAAAGAGAGAGAAAATAAAAGGTAAAAAGATACAAAAGTGGTAATTAATGGAGTCTGATGATGATGATGATGACGATGAGAGTGAAGGAAGATAAAGGATAAAGATAAGGAGTGAAGATAAGAGCTTCTAGACATAAGGATGAAGATGATGAAGATGAAAACAAAGAAACTAAAAGATGATGAAAAGGTTATTAGACAAGTAATGATATAAGGAGGATGAGGAAGAGAAAGAGCCAAAAAAAGATGACGATGGTGACGAAAAAAAAGTTCTTAAGTAGTTCTTAACATTGACTCTAATAATGTCCAGTCTCGGAGGACGAAGGCGATGACCAGAGAGAGAGAGAGAGAGAGAAAGCTAAAGGCGAAGAAAAATAAAGAAAAGACCTTTTCTCTCTCTCCTTTACTGTCTTACAAGAGAAAGAAAGTAAAGGATGAAGATGATGATGACCAGTAAAAGGGGAGGTCAAGAGGCAAGGAGGCTTAAGGAGAGGAGGAGGGAAACCAATGTCACTATCGTTATCTTGGAGTCAATCTAAATTATAACCTTTTGTTGTACTTTATGTCTCAGTGTCACGGTGGCTTGGTCATCTATGGTCAATTTTTATCCTTCCATAGTCACAAATATGCATTGAAATTGATATATTTAAAGGCTACTCTGTGAACTGACCAGTACAGACTATTTTTTAACTGTTCTCAACACTGTAGTCTTTCATCATCACTTTTTTTCTGTCTCTCTCTTTTACTTTGCTTTGAAAACAAAAAGCACAAAAACTGACCACTATTGACCATGGAATAAGTTGAATATATTCTGTATCTCTTACAATTAAATTAATGAGTACTTTGAATTTACCTTGATTGAGGTAAATTGACAGGTCACCAATGCGAATGACCATCATCGCCATCATCAGATGATCACAAACTGACCATTGAAAAGTACATTAGTCTTAATCCTTTTCTATTTTTTCCTCTCTTCTCAATTCTTTGCTTAATATTTACTTACCTTGATCTTTTTTAAATCTTTTAAAACACTTTCTATCATTTATATTTATAGAAACCATTGGTCAATCTATTGGTCATCTTAACGTTTTTGCTCCTCTTCAATTTGATTAAGGGAAACATTTTTTTCCTTCTTCCACTGATAATAAATACAAATGCTTTTCAAAACCAACAATCACATTCTTGTCAACCTTTTGTTGTCCATTATCATCAATTGATTGTAATTTCATGTCCATTCATAGATACACGTGTAGGGATGATAATGGTCACTGTCATGGTCAACGTATCATCATCATCATCATCATCATCATTGTCAGTCACAATAATTGCTATCTTGTCATCTTGTCTTCCTCCTTTTTTTTCATCTTCACTTTGCTTTAACACAGGTAAAAAAAAAGCTTAATCTCTCAGGTATTTTCATCACTGATTAAGATTAAGATTAAGATGATCTTCTCATTAACTTGATTCTCAATGAGTTATTGTAATATTTTCAAGTTGAATTGATTGATGAAAAAGCTTTTGACAAAAATTGGTGACGATTTTCAACTAAATTCAATTCGACCAAGTAATAAATTGATTATCGATTTGATTTATAATTAATTTTCAGTCAACTGTTAATTTAGATTAACTAGAAAACTTTTTGTTTCGACTTTCGATCAACTTACTCCATCTATCGGAATAAAAGAGTAACTTTGATTTTCCATTGAATTTTTTTTTCGGTTCACAATTTATTTTCACTTTTTAATTGTTGGTTCTTTTTTTTTGTTCTTGAAAAGGTAATTAGATTGTAAATTTTTTAATTGTTTACTTTTTCTTACTTTTGGATAGTTAAGTTAACCAGTGTGTAACTAATGGTGTTGATTCTGTGTCATTTGAATTCATGGTAATATGAGCAAAATTAATTTCTACTGTTAATTAATTGTTTTAGTCTCCTGATTATCTGATTGTGATTTAGAAACTTTTTATTATTATTATTGTTCTGATTTTCATCACAAAGAGATTTCAGATTAGACATTTATGAGAAGACAATTGTTAAAAGATAATTAAAGACAATGAGCCATGGAAAAGTTAATTAAGATTAGATTGTTAATCAATCAAATGAACAGATCGCCAATTTAGATTAATTTTGTTTGTTACAATTTAGTTGATTGTTGGATTATTATTTAAGGTTGAAATGAGGAGAGTTAAGAGAAATGAGACATTTTAATTGTTGTATTAGTTTAATTTGTATTCTGTTTATCGTTAGTTGGATTATTAATTGTGATTCTGTTGAAAATTGTAACTGCGATGAAAACAATGCTAATCAAACCGAATTTAACCTTAATTGTTTAATTTTGTGTGATAATATAGTTGATGGTACAAATAATGGTCGATATGGTTATGAGTTGACTTCGATTTCCGAGGAAGGTCCATTTTTTTTATTCGACACTGAAGAAAAGGTCAATTTGAGAAGGTCAGATATTCGTGATGGTCAATCGGGTGTTAAATTACATCTAATTGTCCGGTTAATTAACTCTTTAACCTGTGAACCGATGAAAGGTGTTTATGTTTTCATTTGGCAAGCAAATGCAAAAGGAGTTTATTCAGGAGTGGACAATGGTCAACAAGATGGAAGGCAATTCTATGATCCAAATGATTTTTTTCAAAATAATTTCCGTGACTTTCGGGATTTTCCAGATCGAGATGGTGAACACGGTGGACCTCGAGGTGGACACTTCGATGATGACGATGAACACTATCGACCAAGAGATGATGATAGATGGAAATGGCGGCGAGATGATGGCCCACCGAGAGGAAGAGAAGATCGATTTACCGGTCATCCCGACGAACCCAAACCATGGATGAGGCCAAATGAGTGGAAAAGCCCACGATATCCCATTGAGAACGATCCAAATGACGAACCATGGATTCGAGATGAAGATAAATCCACTGATCAAATTAAAGATGAAAAAGAAACAATTAAAAGACAAGATCATCCACTGAGTGTCCAATTAATCAAATTAAAAAGCCAATCGGACAAACAAAACAATTTAGAGACAATCAACTCAGCGAAAGATTTTTATAAAACGATAAAGTTTCCTAAGCCCATTGAGAACTCAGCTCATCGTCCTGATGATTACTCAAATTTCAAGAAATTCCCTCGTCAAAGGCCAATAAACGAAGACCGTTTTCTCCGTGGTTACCAATCGACAAACCATCATGGCGATGCTTCATTTATAACGGTAATTCCGGGCTGGTATCGAGGTCGAAGTCAACACATTCATATTGAGATTTATCTGGACATAGAATCGCCAGAAAATGTGGCCTATGTTGGTCAATTGTACTTTCCCACCGATGACCGGTCACTAATCAGTAAATTGGAAACAACTAAACCTTATAATCAGATTCCCTTTTCGTTAACAAGTCATGAGGATGATGAAATTTTCCAACAATCAAAAGGCAATGAGTTGATCATTTCATTAGAACCCATTGGAAATGGTTATCAAGGTATTGTTACAATTGGTGTTGACCCAACGATAACAATTAAGCCGTTTCTTGATTAATTAATTCACAAATTAAGTTACATTGACATAAAATTAGGTTTTATTTTTTTCACTTTTAAATTGTTGATTTTTTTAGCAAAAAAAAACTATAAATATTTTTGTATAATTTTTTTTTCTCAAGTTAATTTTTCACAATCAATGTTTTGTTTGGACCATTAATTAATTATTCACACTGTCTTCTGTCCTTTAAATAGTTAATCATTAAACAACATTGATACATTTAAATTATTACATTGATTTCATTTGTTTTCTTAATAATAATCTGAAGAGTGGTTGATTAAGTGGTTTGTGTATGTATGTGTGTGTGTATGAATTATATTGTGAATTGATTATTATGTCTGGCGATTTGAATATTGATTTAAATTTTCTCAGTCCAATTGTTTCAAGATTGATATTAAATTGTGATCAATATCAACTTGGATGATTTGGATTATCACTAATTGAGGTTGGTGGTGTTTCTCCAGTATTACCAATCTCCTCTGATTCAACAATATCCTGCAAGGGCTGATTGGAACTGAATACAGGGGTGGATGAATCATCACTACTGACGGAAGGAGATTCATCATGATGTTCCGGTTTACTGTTATTATTATCATCTGAAGTATTTTTAGAAGATGAATTCTCCCTGGTTATCACATTAACCCAATATTGATAATTTTCCTCTAGATGTTTGGTCTGAAGACAGGTAACTTTTTTCACCTTTTGCTGTTGTTTATCCTTCTTTAATTCTGAAAGAGATTGAGAAAAACAAAAGAGATTAATGGTTAATTGTATCTTGTTGATTCTAATTTCAAGTTTTCGTTTATTACCTGAAGATTTTTTCTCGAATGATTTTTTTCTTTCATCTTTTTTATCTATCGGTTGATTTTCTGTAAATTCAATTACACCCGGAAGTAGACCAGCTTCTCCATATGAGTTACATAGAGGAGCAACCAGATGATTAATAAATGATTCTTGTAATTTGGCAAGTTGAGGATGTTTCCGATTCATAAATGGTGATATTTGTAAACCCAGTTTCTCCTCTTCATCACCCTGTTCATAAAATTCCTCAGCAATTCTGTAAGTCCATTGTAGGTGAATATTTTGCTCTTTACATGGACCATTAATATCGGCCAATTTGATGCACATCTCCATCACCAGAAGTCTATCGGTCTCGGAAAACCAATCGATTCCTGGAGCATCATCATCATTAACCTGGAAATTCAAATGGAAACAATAAGTGAAAGGTGAAAAAAAATGATATGAGTAAAACGAATGAAACGGAAAAAGAAAATAATCCATCACGAACTTTGGCATTGAATTCAGCTAATATATCGAAGTGACGCTTTAGATCAGTGGCAAGAATAAATTCTATAACAAGGAATCGAAATCTTTTAAATTCAGCTTTATCAAGAACACGAAGCCAATTATATTCCTCTTTTGATATGAACAATGCCCAAGCTGCGGCTGCATGATGATTCTCTAGAACAGAACGATCATTATAAAGGATAGCCTGTCAACAGAATAAAATATTAGATAACATTAGTAATGAGAATGATTTTATCATATGAGAAGAAAATTATATTTACTTGAGCTGAAAAAGTTTGAACTAAAAAAGCATTGGTTCGACCTGGATGATCATAATCATGCATCGCCGATGCGGTGTAAAGTGCCATTATCTCAAGAGCGGGGAAATTGGCACCCATTATACCATAACTATCATCACAGGTTGATATGTGTCGAAGATAACTTTTCGGAAGTGGTCCAGAGGAGTTTTTCAGTAATGGTGAATCATCTGAATCTAATGGAATCTGAGGAAATCCTGGAATTTGTTGAGAAGTTAAATAATAAACTCCATGTAAAACATCAGCAGCATGCATACGATTATGATCTAAAAGAAGAAGAATTGAAAGAGAAAAGAAAACAATGGAATTAATAGAAAAACGAATTGGAAATCTAATGAACTTTCCTGAACTTGGAATTCAACTTACATGGTTTCTCTCTGTAACCTAATTCTAATGCTCTAAAGTAACTTAGAAATTCAACTATCGGTATTTTAAATGCTTCCAATAAACCCGCTTCATAAAATATTCTGTAAGTTAATTGACTTAAAATTGCTCCATTAGATGATAGATTAAGCTCAAATATTGGATAATCCCATTCATTGATACGATTAAGTAACGGATCATGGGCAAGGCGTTCAAGATTATAGAAAGTATCTCCAATGGTTAGATTACCAAATGGATCAAGATCAGGTTCAACTGGAGGTGGCGGTGATTTAATTGGCCAAGTGGGCTGAGGTTTAGCTTTGGTTGAATGAGAGGAATTGGTGAAGGCTCTTAAAGCGATACCACAAAGTAGACAATAAGAACCCTCTTTGGCAGTAATCATGTTACCTGAGGTGGTATTCATGTTATTACTTGAATTTATTGAATTATTGTTGTTATTTTTGGCGGTGGTTGTTGTCCCGAGAGGCTGGATATTGGTTAATCCTCCGCCGGAACTTGATAAACTTGATTCGGATGGACTTGCGGTGGTAACACCTTTAGATACTGAACATACTGAACGTCGTCCACTGTTGTTTCCTCCTCCACTGGTTGTGGTGATTAGGCCTACACTTGATAATCTACTGTCACTGATTAGATTGTCATCGACTGTTGTTTCACTTCCACTTGGACTATCGTTACTTGAATCATAATCAGAAGTTAAATTTAATCTTGGAATTGTTTGTTTAAGAATTTGACAAGCTCCAATTGAATAGGATGAACCATGATATGGATTAATTAAAGGTTTATCGGCAATTGAATCTATTCTTTTATTATTATTATCGGCACGACGGTCAGTTGATGAGGGTGATTGATGATGATGATGGTGTGATGAGGATGAAGATGATGATGATGAAGGATATGAAGGTATTTGTTGGATTTGGTGGGAATGTTGCTGGAATTGGGGATGTAATGAGTGTTGCTGTTGATTCTGTTGTTGTTGTTGTTGTTGTTGTAATTGTTGTTGATGATGTGATTGATTGTGTGTCTGTGATATGAGTTGAGATGGGAGAGAATGATGAGAATCTGGTGAACTGTGAAGATGAACATGACTTGGTGAATGACTGGCAGAAGTTGAAGGCTCACCACCGACACTGACACCATGTTTACGAGTAAATTTAAGATTATTTAGATCAATCTCGGGAGGTAGTGGCTGTATAAAATCACGATTACCACTGTCAAGTGAAGATTGAACCAGAGAACCCAATTTACGATCACGTTTCTCACGTAAATGAGACAAAGCGCCCAACGGAAGAGCTGTTGTGGAAAATGATCGACCTCCTTTAACCGGTGGTTTCTCAGATGGACTGAAACGGAAAAACAAACACATTTAGAATATACTTAGAATTTAAAAATAGAAGCCAATAAGACGATTTAAAAAGAATCACAATTCTAACCTTAAAAACGAGGGTGGATGAGGTGAATTTGGACTTTGGGCTGAACGGAAATTGGTGCATCGTTTACGTGAAGGCTCAGGTTCCAATGTTGGCATTCCGGTGGCAGAAGTTGTTGTAGACCATGTTGAGGTTGACATTCGTCGTAATACACTAGGGGGGACATTCCGTCTTCCTCGCTAATTAATTAAAATAGAGACAAAAGAGAGAAAGTAAAGATAAACAATCAACGAACAGAAATCAACATCGACCAACAGAAAATTAACCTTAACTTTGTTTCGAATTCAATAGATGGCGCTCGTAATCGAATTTTCGTTTTCTGGTTGATTTTCTACAAATTTTTCTCTCGTAATCTGACCTAAATTCCTAATTAACCAAAATAATTAACTAACCAAATCTAAATTACTCTGAATACCCTAGCCCTCAGCTATCCAACAATATATAAATTGTACCAATTAACCCTCCTCACTGTGTAAAAACTGTGTAGACTCTCCTTCACCATGTCCACCACGTGTCTTTCAACTGACAACTCAACCTGTTTAGCCGCCATTAATGAGATAAAGGATAAAATCATCGAGATGAACCTGCCGAAAACTCGCAAAAAAGATGTAGACTTTCTGCTCTCCAAGATCCAGCTTGTGTTAGATACCCTGAACAACCCCCAACCAACCACCGCCAACGCCGACCAATCAATCAGCCAAAAAATCCTCGATAAACTCGAATCCTTAACCACCCCATCAACCACACCAACATACTCTCACATCACCGCCTCAAGACCCTCTCCCATCACCATCATCATCAAATCTAAAACCGAAACTACTACACTGAACGAAATTAACGAAAAACTAAGATCAGCAATCAAGACCAACCCAGAAGTGAGAACAGAGTACATCACCAACAGCCCAAATGGTATAAGAGTTACGTCAATGGATAAAAAAATACAATCCAAAGTCTCGGACCTGCTGATGAATATACTTCCCGCTGATTCCTTTACCGTCGACCCACTCCAGAAGTTAAATCCTCAGATTGAATTCACTGCTCAAACCGACCAAATAGAGTCCATCGAAATGTTCAAAAAGCGGAATGATATTGACCAAAATGAAGAGGTAATCTTCGTTCACTCCAAGGAACTACGGTCACCAAATAACATAAAAACGAAATGGCCCAGAACCAAAGTGATTGTCAGAATGACCCGAACCGCCCGCGAACAAATCGAGAAAAAAGGGAAAATCTACATTGGTGGCGAAGGAGTAAAATTCTATGACAACTACAATGTAAGATGCTGCTACAAATGTCACCAAGTTGGTCATACGGCCAAATTTTGCGCTGGTGAATCCCAATGTGGTAAATGTCACGCAACAAACAGCCATTCCACCTCCGACTGTACGTTCGCTGACACCTTTTCCGAATGCCTATTCTGTAAAAATGCTGGCTTCCAAAATACCAAACATCGACCACGAACTGCGAATTGCGCGTCATTTAACCAAGCAATAGAAAAAATCAAAAATATAACCGATTGGAACAATGGATCTAATAATTAAAGCCCATAATTGTCACAAAGAAATAGCTAAAACACAAAATATCATCAACAAATTATCACATGACGCGTCGGTTGTACTGCTTCAAGAGCAGAACAACAATACAATACTCGCCTTCAACCACCCAGCATACTCAACCTTCATCAATGGCAACACCACAACAATCACCCAACGAAGTAAACTCATTCGGCACCGCGCAATTGGAAACGACTGCATTCTCACCATCATCAAATTCAACAACAAAAAAATCGCTATCATCAACATCTACCTTAACCCCACACTCACCACTCACCAAATTAAACAACAACTACAGCTCATTTCTACCTCACTAAAAGGTCTAGCGCAACTACCTATCATCATCCAAGGTGATATCAATTGCGAAGACCTAACTTGGTCACCACAATTAACCAGCTCATCCAACCAAAATTCAAGCCAGGCAATAAACGATCTCCTCGTCAGCCACTCCTTAATCATCCCTTACAACCCAACAACAATAGCCCACACATACATGTCATTACAAAACAACCCTAAATGGATCGACCTAGTAGCCACCAACCAACAACCTTCCCATATCACCGTAACAGTCAAACCTGCAACCTACGACCACTCCGAATTCACCATCACCCTCAACACCCCAACCAGTATAATAACCCAACCGATACAAACAAAGAAAGTACTAAACATCAAAAAATACACCGAAGCCATTTCATCTCACATCGACACAATTCTCTCGTCAACAACCCCCTCATCACTCCAAGAATTAAACAAAATCCTTACCGACTTCACCACATCATGCATATCATCACAACAAAAACACATCATCGCTGTTAAAGCTAATCAAACCTTTAGGCCCCAACTAAAAGAGCACATAAAGTCCCTCCGCATCGCCCAAAAAAGTTACCTGAAGGACAAAACCCGGGAAAAACTAAATGACCTCAACAAAGCCAAAAGAAAAATTTTTACTGAAACAAAAAAGATTGTTTGTGAAAAATTCGACATAGCGAACCCCCAATTCTGGAGAGAGATAAAAAATATCATCAACGAGCAGGATGAGCTCTCTGATGAGTTCATCTTGAATTCCCACAAAATTCAACAAGAATTCGAACTCATTGATCTCTCCTCAATTTCTTCACCAACCGATAAACCACTACAACAGCCCCCAAGCAGCAAAGCAGATCTACCCATCAGTGAAGACAGGCTAATCAATATAATCAAGCGTATGAATAAATGTGCACCAGGCCTTGACCTGATAAACAAATCCATGATGCTCACCCTAATAGAATCTCATATCAACCTCTTCCTGTACATCTTCAACACTCTTTACATCAACAAATTCTTTCCCTCATCATGGAAAATCTCTCGAGGAGTAATCATACCAAAAGCCGATGGTAAAAGAGGTCGATTAATTCAAGTTCAATGCACCTTTGCGAAGATTCTGGAATCGCTTATACAACAGGATATACTGGTCAAGATCCCTGGTGATTACTTCGCTAATCAACACGGATTTCAAAGATCCAAATCAGTAACCACAGCTGTTGAGAACGTGCTCACCTCCTGTCGTAAAGCCCAGAATAGCGCCAGAAGATTTGTCATCGTACAATCTGACCTAGAAAAGGCCTTCGACGAAATACACCATGCCTGTATCCTAAACAATTTAATATCGCTCCGAATACCTGATGACACCCTCCTTCGAACTATGAACTTTCTGAAAGATCGCTATGCTTGCATCATAAAAGAAGGTAAACCCATGGTCAAAAGAACGATAAAAGGTGTCCCACAAGGTTCAATTCTTGGACCTCTCCTCTTCATCATTGGCATCAACTCAGCACTTATTGAGCTGGCAAAAGTATCAACCATCAAAACTCCCACTCTTCCATCAAACCAACATCAACAAACCTCATATTATTCATTCTCCTGTGACTTCACCATCTACGCTGACGATATAATTGCCACAATCACCTATGGACAACACCTCTCTTATGCACCCCATTATGTAAATATAGCCATTTCATCCGTCTTAAAACTCATCTCATCGACAATGTCCAAATGCTCATTAACAATCTCAGAGGAAAAAACCAAGATAATCAGCCAACAGGAAAACATTGATTATCTCAAAGCTATGGGAAGAAATGTGTCAACTAATGGTTGTATCCTCGGTGTACCAATCTCTCTAACTAAAAGTGGACTCTCTCATTATATGATCGATATTGATCAACTCCAGCTCCACCTCAGGAATAATGTACATAAACACTCTAAATTCCTAACCCTTGCCAAATTTCTCCCCAACAAAACAGCCCGAATAATTAGCTCAACATACTTCGAATCCACAGCAATCTTTTTAGCACCCCTTCTCATTCCCACACTTCTTAATAATCATAACTCATTCGACAAAATCAATCAGTTCACCGACACATTAATAATCAAATACTGCAACAAGACACCTAGACAACGAACCTTACCATCCCTAGGTATCTCCCAATTTACACCTACAGCATTTAAAGTAATACAAATAGGATTGAAATATATTCTCAACAGGATGGACCAAAACAGTTACCTCTTCATTCTCCTTTTGAACAAATTTCCTAATTACCTCCCTACAGTCCCAAACAACGTAATATGGTCAAACGCTAAATTAGAATCCCGCAGACTATCGAAACAATACATGGATCAAATGTGGCTGATGAAAACCGACCCAACAACGAGACTCATATCCAGAGAATGGATAACATCGAAAGAAAGAACGAAAAATAATTGTACGACACGCTTATTACTTGGAGTCTACGATTTCATCTTAACAAAAGAACCTTGTTCTTGTTCATCCTTATATCGTGACTCAATTCACCTAATAACTACTTGCCCTAAATACGACCACGACAGAGAAAAAATTCGAGAAGAAATGGAACGATCAAAACAACAAAACATCTTAAAATTCTTATTCATTCACAAAAACTATCACATTGACCTTTTCCTTTCCAAAATCAACCTGAATGAACTCAACACCAAAACTAACATGATAAACTCCCCCACCCCAACCTAAATACAATCATCATCAAATCATAAAATAATTCTGTAAAACTACCCTTTTGTATCTCAAAGGAAGCGCAAAATAATGCTACCTTTGCTCCAAGTGAGCACCCACCCAATAAAATTCTGGTTTGTTCTTTTTTTCTTTTGATTGTTGTTACTTTTTCCTTTTTTTAATTACGATTAACTTGATTTCTTTTGTCATTAATTATTGTGTCAATTGTTGTTCTTTAGATGGTCTAATGGTAAGTTTTTGATGAGTTAATTATTTGGTCGTGAATTAGAAAAGGAGAAGAAATTTTGATTCTGTTCAATTGAATTGAAAAAAAAATTCTCACCAATTTCCCTAAACGGTTTTCTTAATTACTCTTTAGCTTTTTCCCCTTTAGTGTTGTGAGATCTGTTTTCCAATCTGTTAAGTGATTTATTGTTTACCTGTGATATGTTTACTCTTGGAAATTAATTTGTGATTGTCTCTTGTGAACAGTTGAATCAAGATATTTGACACTTTTTCGATATTCCTTATTGGTTTTATATATTCAAACCTTTTTATGTCTTGAGCTTTTCTAGGCTTTATCAGTTGCTCAATTTTAGGATTTTTATTCCATCTCAATCTATTCTTTTATCTTTTTTCTCTTCTCTCCCTTTTACTCTCTCTCTCTCTTTTTCTCTCAGTCTCTATCCTTTAATGCAATTCATGTGGAAAATGAGTTTGATTTATTTCTTATGAGTTAATAGATGGCAATATCTTGCCTGATTGATTCTATCTCCTTTTCTTTATTTTCTTCCTCCAAGGTTTGATTTTCTTGCCTTTTACGATCCAAAGGAGTTGTTAACTTTTCTTACTTCACCTTCTGTAAAAGTAAGTATACATGATTGATTGATGATCATTATTCTTGTCTGATCACACACTAGTTTGGATTAATGATAAGACACAAAAATACTTGTAATAATAATAACACTGTTTCTTTATTCCTTTTCTTCTAGAATGTTTTGTTTTCTCTCTCTCTCTCACTCCACCAATGTATTTACCTTAAAGGACATGAGCTTTTCTCCTGTATATGGAATCTCTTGAGGCTCTTCACCAGGATCAAAGTCTGTTAATGCAACCGCTGCGAAAACATTTGACCGAGATCGACTTGATATTGATGCTATGGGAGGCGATAAAAGGGAGGCAACCGCTCGTAGGCCAGAGGAAATGTGAGCTGGAAGAGTTGGATCACTTAACATATCAGTTACAAGACCATGAGCTTCCGTTATAAGTGCAACATCCACTGATGAACGAGATGATTGCTGTAAAATGATAAAGATAAAAAGACAAAGAAAAAAGAAGAAGAGAAAATAAATAAGAAAGATTCAAATCTAGTGAATAAAGTGATACAAATTCATCACTAGGGATAAGGTAATTTTTTAACAAAATTTTTCCTCAATCAACAATTTCACAACCTATTGAGATCCTCAAGACATTGAGGTCAACAAGACGAAGGTATCAATTGGTTAATATTAATTTATTATCGAAATGTTGATATAGTTGAATTTCTCATTTATTTTGCCTTTGATTTATTCCTTTTTCCTCTTAATAGCCATTGAATAATGATTAGGTTCAACTACAACACACCAATATATTTGCACTCACTCAAAGATGGAAGACGAGAGAGAGAGAGAGAAAAAGGAAAAGAGAGCGTACACCCTGATATTATCTAACCAATATTCTGGATTCTGGATTCAGTTGAATTGACATGGACCTTTACCATTACCCAAAACACTTTCAGGGTTCACCTGTCTTCTTATACCTAATACATATTAACTCATCAATTGATCTATGTTAAGTTACAGATTATTCATTGGAGAGAAAGGGGAAAATAAGCTCATCTTTATCATCTTGATGTGTATCCAATATCCAGTTATGTACTTGTGTATATAATTTGAAGAGATGAAATACTTTTCTCGGTGAAAAAAGATGAGGATAAAAGAAAAAGCCAAACCAAGGAAACATCATCATCATTCATCATCTTGAGAAGAAGCAAAAAAAGGACTTTATCAAAACAAGAATCACTTGATCAATTTTGTATTATTATCGAAAAGGAAGAATAAGAGAGAGAGAAAGAGAAAAGGTGAAAGAGAGAGTTACAAAAAGGAATAAGAATTAAGTCTCTTTGCCTTTATTTCTTATCTGAATGTCTGATGAGAAGCAGAAATAGAAACGCAAGATTTGTTACCGAAAAAGATTCACAAGAACAGAAAACTATCGATCAGTGAATTCCATGAGAACTGGAAGATAAGTCAAGAAGAGACAGAAAATGATGATGATCAAGATGATGGAGATAAAGGTGAGCAGGAAAAAAAAAGAGTAAGCAAAGTTACATGTCATCCGATTTAAAGGTAATATCATGATTCAAATTTCATATAATATTTTTGACAAAAATTTTTCTCCCTCGCTATTTGTCATCCTCATCATTTTTCCTCTTGGTTATCATCTTCACATGATTTAATCATACATCTTTTACTTTCTATTTATTGTTAGATAAATCACTCAAATTGATGTTCCATACCAAAGATTCAAATCCATGGGCTAACATCATGAAATCCAGTTACTATTAAGATGATAATTTTGTCAAGAAGCAGAACTAAATTCTGATCCATTTCTTGAAGTAAGAAAAATTAAACAATTATCAAAATTATATTAATAATAATCTAAATAATGATCATCTAAAAGATAACTTTAGGCTAAAAAGAATGAGACAAAAAATGAATATTCATATTTTGGAAAATTTTCTTTCATATCATGATGATCATTGTCAGAATATTATTCTAATCATGATGATATTTTCTTCTTCTTTTTCTTTAACATGTTAAAATCTAACATTTAAATGTTATATCATTTTTTTCTTGAATTTTATTCTCATCTTTTTAGCATCTTTACCATGATGGATCTAAATGTTTCTCCATCTTTTTCAATTTATTTTCAACATTCTGAACAAAGACATTTCATATTTCATCATGTTCATTATCATCATTTTTACCTTTCTGATCGTTGTTATTATCATATGAATCCAATTTACATGATATATATAAAAAACTAATACCGTTACTTAAAATTGATCATCATCACAACTTCCAATTACCATTAGAAGTATAATGATAATTAACAATCAACTCATCTTAACTTTTAACTCTCAGTTAATTATCATCGTTTAACTTAATCAACAGGTAAATTAGAAAATTAAATTAACTGTTGTCAGCGTTTTTCATTGATGATCAGATTGATCATTAAATGAAGGTCAAGTTACCATAATGATGATGATTACATTATCATCATCATCTAAATCAAGTGATGATGATAATGATTCCAATAACAATTATTTGATGTTATCTAATCAAGTAAATCAGATCAAGTCCACTTGAGCTATTCAACCAACTAAACAGAAAAGAAAACTTAACAATTAACCAATGTTAACGATGAAGCAGAAAATTTCAAATCTAATCAACCTTATACACAACTGAATTAACCTTAATCATAAATAATCAGCAATATTTTCACTCCATACAGGGAATTGGTATTATTTTTACTCGGAAAATGGTTCACTGATTGTGATGGCCTAAGTTTCTGGTGGTGTTAAATTGTGATGATTAATATTGTTTACCTTTATGAAGATAATCAAATAAGCAGGTATTAAGTTAATTTTCATGTCCGCTTTTCAATATGATCATGTTAATCATAATTATATGATAATTTATATTTTTTTCATCATTATTACAGGTAACAAGTTTCAAAGCCAAAAATCAAATCGTCATCACAATTAAAATTGCTTGGATAAGCATTAAAAGGCAACTAATTTATTAAATGTGACAATTTAAATTTAAAGTATAAGATTAACATATAACATGTTAATCTAATTGGTGATGTTGAAAATTTCATTGGAAACTTAATCAATCGTGATCACTATCAATCAAAAACAATTGAATTTATTTCCTCTCGACCGGAGTTACAACAATTAATATTGATTGTTGATCTTCCTATCTGTTTAACAATTAACTTGATTTCACTCTATTAATCATATTAACTTTTCTATGTGTTTCTTTTTCTGACCATTACGGTAATCAACCCTTATCACAATCAAATGTAATCAATCAAATTAACAATAACAACAACAACAACAACCAAATTAGGAAGTTATTAGAATCAAAAATTAGGTTAATTGTTTGGATAATAATCAATATCGATTTTTGATTTTCTTTCTAAATAATTATTCTTGAAAATGATTCACATTTACAATTAACATAATGTTTTGTTTTAATTAAATTTAATTTCAATTTAATTTAATTGTAAACTTATAATGGAAAACAAAACATCAACATAACATTACCGATAACAATTTAATCATCACCACTAATCAACTAATTGATCAAATTGGATTAACAATCAATGAATTTAAATATATATATATTTTTTTCATCAAGATTGTTTAACCATTAATTAGTGAATTAATTAATTCCCTTGAGCAATTAACCTTTCGTGAGTGTAGGTTAATGTTAATTGTTTCTTGTTGGCCATTAATTTCAACCATAACAATTACAACTCGTTTTTAATCATAATAATAATATTAATTTATTGATTATTTGGTTGTCTCCAATGTTCAATTAACTTTAATTGTTTACAACGAGAAGTAAAAAAACTTTAACACTAATCAGTTAATTGTTGAGTTGACATTTCAATCCATCTCAATTCAATCAATTCACTAACATCAACCTAATTGTTACTATTAATATCTTCATCATCATCGGAACACTGATCACAATTAAACTAATCAATCAATTGATTGAGATAATAAAAAAAAAAGTTAATTTGTCTCTTTCTGATGATGCTAATTAGTATTAAACTAATACAAATCAACTCAATCTAAATTTACTAATCAAGTTAATTCCTTGTATCTTATATTTTATATAAGATTGTTTCTCAAAGTTAATTTACATGAATTAGTGGATTAAATTAACTCCAATCATCGTCATCATGAAATGAAATTAACCTCAAAAGTCAATTATTGAGTTAATTGTTAGAAGTCTCGAGAAAATTAATTTACTAAATATCCTTCAGGCTTATAATCATGTCTGATTATTGGGTGTTAATTGCTTTCTCTATGGTTCATCAACTAGACAATTAAAGTTACCCCAACAATCAAGGATCAACCAATAAATCACCATAATCAAAAGTTAACCATTAGTAATTAACCTTGAGCGATGATAATTGTAATTAAAAAGCTTAAACAATTAAATAATTTTTATCGTTTCACTTTTAATTTGATTGTATCTTTTCAATCAAATTTGTTGATTGTTTTCTGTTTGATTGTTCAAACAATTGGCTAATTGTCCTTTGGTATTGATCAATTTTTACCTTAATTTTGATTTATTAAACAAAGTATTGGTAAAATTTTACTTTGCTGATTGTCATGTTGATTATAATGTCAACAATTTATTAATTGTAATCAATTCTATCTCACAATTAATCATTGGCTTGATGATCAACTGGGAAAACATAATTTGAACAAAATGATTAGACATTAGAGGTTTTTAATGATTGTTAATCACGAACATGATTTGATGAGTTGATTGTTATAATCATGAGCAATAGACACACACACATAGACTAACAATTAACAATTAATATTAATTCAGTTGAGAAAGAAAAGTAAAAAGTCTATTTCCAAACAATCAAGCGCAATAAACGTCACAATCAAAAAACTGATCTGATTAAATTGTTTAATTTCAATCGATATTGAATGTTAATTGTCAATTGATCACAATCAATATTTAAAAATAACAATGAAAATGTTGAAAATTTTGTATAACAATGTAACTAATTGTAAGTGAATACAATTTAAAAAAGTTTCAACAAAAAGACATGAAAATTACTGTTGATTATTATTGATTGTTGATAATTATGATGGTTTAAATTAAGATGATTAGTAGAAACAGCTTAAAGCTATTAAGACAAATTTCATGAGCCTTTTTGATTGTCATCATCATCATCATCACTCTCGATGATGAAGAAACATAATCATCATTTGCAATTGATTAACTTTAGTCTATTAGTTTGTCTCATAATCATTAAACTCACTTAAGGCTAAATTAAAATACTCATGGAATTGAGTAAATAATCATCATCATCATCATCATACAATTGTCATCCCTCATCCTCATCCTCATCATGCTAACTAATTTCAATCATCTAATCTCAATTAATTGGATCATGATGACAAATTGTGACTTCTATTCAACCATCAAATTGAAGATGT